TGTATTGTTTTTTTTCTAAACAATATATGAATGAAAACAAATTTTATTATAATGGTTATAAGACAAAGCTATTATCTATAGTTTTGGGTCGTTTTATTTGTTTAAAAATCAAAGATTTTTCTATTTGGGCTGAATCCGGATTCYGATTGAAAGCTATGTTAGCCAATCAGATCCAGAGTTAAAGCCAGTGGGCGTGGTCTCTGGGCTAGCAGCGGCAGGTGGCTAATTAACATTTTTGAAGCCGTTAGCCTAGCTGTTCCTGTGYCGTTCAGCCACTGGAAACAGCTACAGGTGCATTTAACATGTTCTAAAAGTTATTATTGATTAAAGAAATATGTGTTTTGTTAAAAAAACAACATCAACCGAGCATGGATTAGCTAGTTTAGCTGCTCGGTTAGCAACTAGCAAAGCTGAGTTTTAGCAACACGAAAAAACCTTTAAAACAATTGTTTATCCAGCAATGAAACTTAAAAAAAGAAGAAAGAAATCAGCCAGAAGCTCAGATGGATGACRGTTGTTTTCAAATGACCATCAGTGGTGAGTAAAACTTTTATTTCTGCTGTTTTTAATCTTTCTGCTGAAGTTAGCTTCTGGTTTAACAGGTCAGCAAAGGGCTGGATTTTAATCTGGTTAATTTAGTCACCTTTAAATTAAAGTATTTATACTAATAGCAGATTTTTTTTACACAGTTTGCTCTGTGAATTATAATTACATTTATAAAAATACAAATAGGAACATGACTCGTTTTTTAAGAGCTTCTGTGGCAAATCTGTTATTCTGAGTTTTAATAAAACCCTGAAAGACTCACCTGACAGGTGGAGGCTTCCTGATGCTGTTAATCTGAAATAATCCCTGACCTGCTTAAACCCAAAYGGCCTCTTTATTTTCATTTATCTTTAGAAGTTATCTCAACTCATCGAGCTGCTTAAACGTTATATAAAAACTTCCTGCTTCATGAAAAAAACTAAAATAATATAAAGAAATAACTTGTTGCACATTTAAAATCTGTTAAATTAAAAAAAACTTTAAAAAGTTGTCATCATTTTTAAAATAAATTTGAAGTGAAACATTTATCTGATAAAGTCTGAGTTACTTCAGGTTAACTTGATCATTCGAACCAGCAGCAGAAGTCTTCATCAGGTGGTTCTGATCCACTTCACTGAAGAACCAGATCAGGTGGTTCTGATCCACTTCACTGAAGAACCAGATCCGGTGGTTCTGATCCACTTCACTGAAGAACCAGATCGGGTGGTTCTGATCCGGACCTGTGTGGCTCTGAAAGTCAAACAGGAAATGAAAACAGGAAGAGGCTGAAGCTGCGGTTTGTTGAACTTTATTGAGAAAACGGTGACAGAGCTCGTAGTTGATCGATCAGCCGCAGTGGGAGGGGCTTCAGTAGTGGGAGGGGCTTCAGTTTGGGTTTCCAGTGCAAAAACAGGAGAACGGGTCGGGTCGGGTGACGGATGAACTAACAGCTCTGGTCTGAAAACTAAAACAAAAAGCTACAAACTGAAGAAACTGGTTTGTCTTTTTTTTAAAAACATGAACCAATCACTGACATGCACCGATGAGCCCGCCCCCCGCCTGCCAGGATCACCTGCCAGGTGAGTCCGCGGCGCCGCGCTCGCTCGCTCGGGTTTCTGGCAGAGTTTAAAAGCATCGCAGGTGAAGACGAATGTGAACAAACTGCAGGTGAGATGAGAGGGGGCGGGGCTTAATCCGAACAGGTGGTTCCAGCAGGCGGCCTATCACATGGCGTATTTCTGAGTCCAGTCCTGAGCCGTCTTGTTGTACCTGCAGGAGAGACCACAGAGTGAGACCACAGAACCACAGCGGTGGGTTTCCTGCTGAGAGCTCTGGACCGGTCCCTGAGCTCAGAACCTTGGACCGGACCGCAGCCTTGAATGGTTCTCCTGACCCAGAACCCTGGGGTTCTTCCAGAACCAGGTCTTGCAGTTTTAATAACTTTATGGAATCAATTTCTACGATGTAAACATCAGATTGTGGTTCTGTTTGACCCGTTTTTGAGCCCCGTGGCCCCGGTACCAGGACCAAAACAGTTTTTTCTGTTTCTTTTAACTTCAGACCTGTTGAACCTGGACGTGTTCGGTATCTGAAGAAATAAAAATCTTTGCTAAAAGCTCATTTTTACATTCATAAAACAGTTTAAATGTGAAGCAGCTGAATCAAAAAGTAAACAAAATGTACAAAATGTCATCGTTACAAATCTGTAAAAACATCACAACTAATCTGTGAAACATTTAACATTCTTTTTAAAACAAGTCAAAATAGATAAATGTGTTAAAGTGTGCTGAAAGTTTTTTTACTTGATTTTGAGTGAATAYGGTCCAACTGAAGTCAAATATAATTTCTCATTATTTTATATAATAWAYATCWGGGATGTCCAAAGTGTGGCCCGGGGGCCATTTGTGGCCCCTGAACTGATTTTGTGTGGCCCCCGACTTCAGTTCAAGAATTATACTAATTTGTTTACACATGTGTCCCCTGGCACAGCTGTTTGATGTAGTCAGACACTTTCTATTTATTATCAGGGCTAATTTATCACAAAGTAAAATCTGATAATAAAAATATTAGCAAAAATACCAACTATTTGTCTTTAAATAACCAGACTTGTACTTTTCCCACATCTATCCAGTGACTTCTACTCCAAAGCTGATTTTGCTGCACTCTAATCTGCTTTTAATCAATTTATTAAATTTGTCTGAAAACAACAAGCATTTTCAACAGAAGAGTGACCTAAACTCTGATTTTATTGATCAGAATTGATTAAATTGGGTTATTTATTCCCCCAGTTGAAACCTAGAAAATTGCAAAATTTCTTTCAGTAAGAGAAACCTGCAAAACTCTTTTAAAGTTCTGGATCTAGAATAATTTATGCATCCATTTACAGCAATAAATCTGATTATTTTATTTGTTTAATTAAAGTAATCAAGGCTTAGTTTATTGTTGAGCAGGTAAAGGAAAAATATTTTTGGTCCTCAGGTCTTTCTGACTTTATGATTTTGGCCGATGTGACTAAATGTTTGGACAGCCTGATATATATTGTGACAAATAAAAGTCTTTTTAAGGCAGGTAAGAAAAAATAAATAACTTTTGCAAATAAAAAACTTCAGATTTGTTAACATTTATTAACAGAACCATCATGGTCTGACCTGTGCAGAATGACTAAACACTAAATTATTTCTTTATTAAAACCTCTGTAACTTTGCTCCAGTTCATTTTAGCAGCATGAATCTTTGCACAGGTGATGTCCACAGGTGGATTTATGGTTTCTAAGAGTTTTTAGTCTGATTCATTATGGTTTTAAATGGTTATATACTGTTTAATGAAAACATCATGTCTAAAACCACAGCAGCTGTTTAAATACTGACACTTCTGATGAAACCTCCCAGGTTTTAACTTTATTTTGATACTAAGATAATTTAAGTAGAGTTTGTAAAAGCTGAGATTCACTTGTTATATTTCAGCATGGTGTTTAGAGAAAAACCTTAAGAGAGCCCTCTGGGACTGAAGAGGTTAACTCTAAACTGTCAGAGCAGATTTAGAAACTAAAGTTTACTTTGTATAAAGCTGAGCTCAGAACCGTTTAAATCCTGACAAACCTATAAAAAAAAACAGCAGATCTGAAGAAACTAAGGTTCTGTCTGGTCCGGTTCTTTCAAAGATCATTACCATTTAAAGCCTGGTGCTGACGTGGGTCAGTGTTTTCATTTGGACCGGTTCTGACTCAGTGGATCTGCAGCGACTCACCTGACGGGGTCTGTTTTGTAGATGCGGGCGATCTCTGGCACTAACGGGTCGTCTGGGTTCGGGTCACATAACAGAGAACAAATGGACAAAAGGACTGCAGAGAGAACAGAACCGAGGTTTACTGAAACTAAACCCGCAGAGGTCCGAACCAGCAGAACCTGGTGCTCAGAACCAGTAGACCCAGGTGATGTTTTACCTTTAGAGATGGTTAATGCTGGAGACCACTGAGATCTCAGGATATCCAGGCAGATGCTGCCGTTACTGTTGATGTTTGGGTGATAAATTCTGGTTGTGAAGGCGACCTGCRGGACACACAGAACCACTTCAGTTCTCTGGGTTCTGGTTCTGGACTCAAACGGTTGGACTCACCTTGGGTGGTTTGAAGGGGTAATCTGTGGGGAAATGAATGGTGAGGAAAAACACGCCGCCCTGGTACGGACTGTCGGGCTGCAACAGAACCGGGTCCACAGGTTAGCTCAACACTGGTTCTGATCATGAGGACAGATGTTCTGCAGCTGTTTGATACTTACAGGACCCATGATGGTAGCCTGCCAGTGAAACACTGCAAGACACATAAAACAGGAGGGTTAGTGAAGAGTCGGGCCGGTTCTGATTCTGAGTTTGAGAAGAAACAACGGGTCTTACTGTCTTCACCCACGGGCCCGGCAGAACACTGGGCCGGAGGATCTCTGGACAGGTCGGTTAGCTCCTGGAGACAAAACACACGTTAGTTTCCGCAGCTGAGGGGCGTGGTGTCGGTCCGGTCCGAGGTCCAACTGTGGTGGTGTCGGTCCGGTCTGAAGTCCGACTGTGGTGGTGTCGGTCCGGTCTGAAGTCCGACTGTGGTGGTGTCGGTCCGGTCCGACTGGTGGTGTCGGTCCGGTCCGAGGTCCAACTGTCGTGGTGTCGGTCCGGTCTGAAGTCCGACTGTCGTGGTGTCGGTCCAGTCCGAGGTCCAACTGTAGTGGTGTCGGTCCAGTCCGAGGTCCGACTGTGGTGGTGTCGGTCCGGTCCGAAGTCCGACTGTCGTGGTATCGGTCCGGTCTGAGGTCCGACTGTGGTGGTGTCGGTCCGGTCTGAAGTCCGACTGTGGTGGTGGCGGTCCGGTCTGAAATCCGACTGTCGTGGTGTCGGTCCGGTCCGAGGTCCAACTGTCGTGGTGTCGGTCCGGTCCGAGGTCCAACTGTCGTGGTGTCGGTCCGGTCCGAGGTCCAACTGTCGTGGTGTCGGTCCGGTCTGAAGTCCGACTGTGGTGGTGTCGGTCCGGTCTGAAGTCCGACTGTGGTGGTGTCGGTCCAGTCCGAGGTCCGACTGTAGTGGTGTCGGTCCGGTCTGAAGTCCGACTGTGGTGGTGTCGGTCCAGTCCGAGGTCCGACTGTAGTGGTGTCGGTCCGGTCCGACTGTGGTGGTGTCGGTCCGGTCTGAGGTCCAACTGTGGTGGTGTCGGTCCGGTCTGAAGTCCGACTGTGGTGGTGTCGGTCCGGTCCGAGGTCCAACTGTGGTGGTGTCGGTCCGGTCCGAGGTCCAACTGTGGTGTGTCGGTCCGGTCCGAGGTCAGACTGTAGTGGTGTCGGTCCGGTCCAACTATGTTGGTGTTGGTCCGGTCCGAGGTCCAACTGTGGTGTGTCGGTCTGGTCCGAGGTCAGACTGTAGTGGTGTCGGTCCGGTCCAACTGTGTTGGTGTCGGTCCGGTCCGAGGTCCGACAGTCGTGGTGTCGGTTCGGTCTGAAGTCCGACTGTAGTGGTGTCGGTCCGGTCTGAAGTCCAACTGTGGTGGTGTCAGTCCGGTCCGACTGTGGTGGTGTCGGTCCGGTCTGAGGTCCAACTGTGGTGGTGTTGGTCCGGTCCGAGGTCCAACTGTGGTGTGTCGGTCTGGTCCGAGGTCCAACTGTAGTGGTGTCGGTCCGGTCTGAAGTCCAACTGTGGTGGTGTCAGTCCGGTCCGAGGTCCAACTGTGGTGGTGTCGGTCCGGTCTGAAGTCCGACTGTAGTGGTGTCGGTCCGGTCTGAAGTCCAACTGTGGTGGTGTCAGTCCGGTCCGAGGTCCAACTGTGGTGGTGTCGGTCCGGTCTGAAGTCCGACTGTAGTGGTGTC